AGTATCTTAAACTATGATTATATTGGTGTATTGTTCTCAAACATGTTTTATGTGTTTTTGAAGCTAATGATTTTCAAAATAAAAACATTCAATATGAAAATCAAGATCAACTTGATATTTTTTGTTTAATTAAAATATCTTGGAAATTATGTAAGTGATTAGAAAAAATTACTTGTTCTTTGAGAAAAATTATTTGCATCTTATTGATCATTATCTCGTGTGTTGTTTCATCAATAAAACACTTACAACAGAAAAATAATGCTTTATTGATAGATGATTTACAATGTAAATGGAAAAGCAATTTCCTTCATATTAATCATTTAGTATGATAGTTAGTGTGACTTGAGATTGATAATATTTATGCAATAACAGAAATGATTCATGTTTTATTTCTAGAGGTAGATTCAAGTCTAGAATTAATTTTTTAAAACAGAAAATTTGTAATATGTTATAATGATAAAAGTGATTATATTGAAGACAATCATAGTGTATATATGGCCAATACGGCTAAAAAGTTTCATTTCAAGAAGTATGACTTGTTCAAGAATATGTTATGATGCTAGAATTATGTCTTGATTAAAAATGAGACGGATATAGACACAATATGACAAATCTACATATTGCTATTTGCTATGAGTATAACTATGCAAATTTTTAAGAAATTGCAAAGAGTAGTGCATCACTTGTAATCTCATCATGGTTCATATTCTGCAACAAAAAATGTTATTTTTGATAAACTCAAGCAAAAAATGTTAAATTAGATACATAGTATGCTCAATCAATTAAATAAATCATATGAAATTTGAGCTGAAATTTTCAATCTTGTAATGTATTTAGTATAATTTTTTTATAAGATTCATTTAATTAAGAATTGAATTAAAGCATAAATAAATGAATGATAAGTATTGTTTGAAAATTTTTTATTCAAATGTTTATACATGTATCGTAAAAAAAATATGAAGTTGGATTTTATATCCAAAAAATATGAATTTCATCTTTGCTAATAATATGAAGAAAAATAGTTCATTTGTTTGTTAAGGTTATAAGTAGTAGGATTGTTTTTCTCAAAAAGCTCAAGTAGTTTAAAGAGTGCAAAATTTTTCACGATTCTCATATTAACAACAATAATTTTTTACTCTTAGATGCTGTTGAGACAGAATGATCATTTCAAATTTTAAGGATGTGAAAAAAAGTTATAGTTTAAACATAGCAAGTATCTCATAACCAGGAATATTAAAAAAATTATTGTTAGAGTTTAAAGAGTAATCATAATTTTTATTTTGAATATAATTACAATGGATTATTAGAACTCCAATAAAATATAGATTATAAAACTATTCATTCAAATTGGAAGATCATGATATTGATATTAGGAATTATGAATGAAATGCATTGATCTTGGAAGATAAATAATAATGTTGTTTTTTTAGAAAAATATAAGTCATTGTCAATAAACTTGAATGAAACATAATAAGAAATCTAGTGAATTTTACAAGTAAACAATCTTTGGTTGATAGCAATAAATGTATAAGCTAAAGTACAATCTAATAGATCACCCAAAAAAATCTTCAATGTCAAGTTAGTGTCTAATGATTTTCTACAAGAAATTGGTACCCAATACACATAGTATTATCACTTGTAGCAAAGTATGCCACAAATTAACTAGCATTTGCACTTGCTAAAATATTCAATCCACTTATATGATGAAAGTGAAAACATACTTTTTTTTATGCATCATTGAAGTAAAAAGTTTAAATTACTTCGTCATTTGGCTTTGAGTAGAGTTATTTACTAAAGTTGGTTTATAGATTATTGAAATCATTATATGAATTGAATCAAGATCCTATGCAATAAAACAAAAGATGTGATGAATTTATGAAAGTATAAGAATTTCACAAACTATGCATAATCCATGAATCTACATGAAATGAAAGAGATAAATAATGAGATCTTTAATATCACCATTATAAAATTTTATGTGGATAAAATGTTAATTTTGATAAGAAAATTAATATAAAGTTGATAAATGCAAGAATCAACACAAATTTGCATTCAAAATGAAAAATTTGGATTGATTCAAAAAAATCTTATGGATATATGTTCATAGAAATTGAAAGCAATAAAAAACATGGTTTAATCAATACAACTTTATGTAATGTGTGATTCACATGCTTAATATTATACACTTTAAAGCAACTTATTTTATGCATGTTTATTATCAAATGCCAAAATCTTGCTAGCCTACGTTGATGCTAAGTAGATTCAAGTAATATAAACAAAAAATCTACAATTTCACAACATGTTTACACTTTGTGATTGATGCATTTATTTTGCAAAATTGTTTTGCTTAATCTATAACAAAAGCTGAATATGAAGTTGTAAAGTAAGCTACTTTTTTGAATAGTTTTAATAGTGATGGGACTAAAATATGACAATTTTAATCTTCATTGTGATTGTGTTACATCTTGCTTCAAATCAAATAAAATGTAGCACAATAACACACATCAAAATTTGATATTATTTTATCAAAGATAAAAAGTTAAAAAAAATTTAAGTTAGTCAACATTTAGGATGTATACACTCTAGCTAATGCATTGATCAAAGTGTTTTATTTTCAAATCAACATTGTGTTACTTTGCAAGTTTTGCATGTGGAATACCAAGTAGAGTCAATATCATTATCTTGATATATATATATATATATATATATATATATATATATATTTACTCTATATAATACACATTAATAATTTCTTCTTATCAATTTCAAAAACAAGAAGAATGAAATTTTTTAGAAATTTTTTGTGTTAGACTTTATTCTAAATTTTTTTGTAAAATAATCATATGAAATATTGTTTTTATTTTTAAAGTAGAAGATCAATATGAGTTTATTTACGAAAAAAATCTCCGTGGAGTTTCAATGATGCAACATTGTAGCAAAACCAAGAAATCAAACTGCTCTGAATAAGCTTGAAGACATGTTTTACATTTCAATTGACATGAGTTTGTGTCAATTATCATGTTTTGTTAGATATTACTAAAGTAAAAAATATTGCATTAAATATATTGATTACAAAAATAAACATCAATGCATTTTGACAATGCCTAAGACAATTTAGAGGGTATAAAAAGTTGCAAAAAATGATGTTTAACAAAAATCTAATCCTAGATGAAATTTGCTGATTTGAGTTTTAAACAACATCTATGCATAATTGTCAAACACGAGTTTTTAAAGAATTTTGACGATAGTAATATTTTTTTCTTCAATCAACACACAATTTCTAGTTTCCAATATGTACATACCAAATATTTTAAAAAAATACAAAGATCTATATTTGCTTATCCTTTGCACCAAAATTATAAAAATTCAAAAAATTTCTTGCATATTGATTTTTAAATCAAAAGCATCTATTTCTATCAAGCATCATCAAATATTTTTAAAAAATTTCAGTCAAGCTAGATATTTGAATGAAAATAAAACATGTTGAAAGTGATTTAACAAAAAAATTTGAAATATCGGACTTTAAATTCTTTGACAATGATCTTTGACACTTTGAGACTTTTGAACGTGAAAATGTTCGAATTATTGTTTTACTTCAAATTGCAAAATTTGAATATTGCTGCTTTGAATAGAAAATTTCAATATCTTATCTAAAGTATGTTCATGACTTTCATGAATTGGATGATGAAGCCAAACTTCAAAGGAAAATGTAAATGTTGAGATTGCAACGCAGTGCTATGGAAATTGCATAAAAAAATCCAATCAACGTTAAGAAGCTCTATGAACAATGCATCTATCAAGTTGAAAAAAATTGGCATTAAAAGCCAATCAATAAGTAATAAACAAGATTAAAGGTTTAGGGATCAAAGCTGCCCAAGCTACTGCAGCTTTAAATATTTTTGTTCTACAAACTAGCTTGGAGATTTGTTTATGTTCACAATAAAAAGTGTGAATAATCTGCAAATGCAACTTCGAAGAGGCTGAAGAGCTTTTGAAAAGGATGAAGATTACCAAGAATATTTGGATGATAGAAATGATGATGAAAAATTTAACACTCAATTGTATGTTTGTGATAGAAAGTATCTGTTACTATGATCCAGAAAGTAACTTAGAAAAATTTGATGAACTTAGAAAATTCTTTGAATCATTTCAAAGTAAGGTAGAAGGTGTCATCTTGATAGGCAGACACAAAAGTCTTCAAAACTTGCTCCAAATAATAAATGAAGCATGTTTGAATTAAAAAAATTTAAATACTTTTTTATATATAAAGTGCGTACATAGGCAGGAGTCTTCTTTAATAATAAATTATTAAATATATTTATATCTCTATAAATACATAATAGATTGTAGACTTTTGTTTTAAACTTTAGAAAAAAAATCATAGTAATTTTAACAACCTTGAAATTATTACATATATTTGAAATGATAATTTTGTTTCAAATCATTATGAATATCATACATAATAATTTTCTGAACCTAGAGCAATATATTTACAAATTTTGAGAGGAAGATATTTATGTTATATACATATGATGCATATAAATATTTCTAGATGCTGTCAAAACAATTTATGATTATGAAAAAATATAATAAGCAGCCATAGCACGCTAGTTTCCTTAAAATCCGACAAATTTTATTTTTATTGAGATCGTTCAACACACATCATATATATTTTCAAAATGAAGCTTTTAACTTTCGGCTTGGATTATTGTAGATGTTTAAATAAGAAGCTAACTATATGCATAAAATAAAAAATGAATTTTCTGAGATTTTTTCGATTTAGTTTGTTGATTTCGCTTACGTCGTATGCGAATATACATATTCATATATATGAAATCTACGTGAATTTGTTAGTATCTCGTCTCTTCTACATTACCAAAAAGTAGAGTTGAGATTCATTCGTGGATATATGCATAGCAAATATGTACCTCCGGACAGTCTGCGGAGGTAGATGACCAGAATCCTGGGAAAGAAGAAGGATAAAGTGTATCTCAAGACTTGCAGTCAAAGCGGGTAATAATCTAAGCTCCAGGTAAAGTGCCAGATCTGGTGGTTTCACTCGTACGTACTTTCTGATCAGCAATTGGTCCCGAAACCCTAAAATGCGAACGAGAGGTGATCCCGTTGGAAAGGACGATAAATCGAAGGAACGAAATCCGGAAGAGCCAACCGCGGACGAGGACTATTGGGCGCTCAGAGCTACATGGGAACGCAAGTTCAAACGCGGAAAGATTGAAGAACAAGTTTACGAGCGGAGCATGGATCGGAAGAGATCCGTACAGTTCTGGGGCTTTTGCCAGATTCCAGATTTGGAGGGAGGACCGGAGGAGCGTGCCATCAGTGCCAGGTACTGTACGAAAAGATGATGATGATGGTGGGATCAGGTCAAATCATGTCCTCCTTGAGGAAGGGAGGGGAAACATGTATGGGATGACGATGGCACCCTTTGTCAACCTCTACATGGGCATAGGACGCTCATGGGGTTTGTCCCATTGGACTGCATGGCGTTCGAAGCATAATCGCGGGCCACGTGGTCGAATCCAGCTTCATGGGATGCGTGGAACTCAAACACCTACGTTAAATATGACCCCATCCCCCGACACGAAATCGCCACATGTCCCGGAGCGAAGGACTCCGATCTCCTTCCACAGGAACGCCCGCACGCAGTTAGCCTCGGCTGTCGTTGGCGTCGCCCCGCAGTTCCCACGCCGCAAGGCAGGAAGGAAGGAACGAAGGAAGGAAGTCCAGGACGAGAGCACGCAGTACGCTTATGTCAATGACGACGCGGTTACGGCGCGGTCTGGCTACCGGGGAGTTGCGTTGCGTAGTGACATTCGCCAAGCACCACGCGGCTATATATGGCGGCCTTTTCCTTCGCTCGTGGCGATGCTGCACGTCAATCGCCACGTAACAGGGCGCGAACTCGACGATGCGAAAAAGCAGACCCACGTTGCCGAGCCCGAGCACGAGCACGAGCCGGACCGGTGGAAAATGGCTCGCGCTCGAGGCCGACCCGGTTTGTTGGATGTTTCATCGCCAATCCACAGATAAGTGTCGTGGCTAGACTGCATGATCGTCGTGGCGAAATCGGCTTCTCTCTCCCAAAGAGTTTCGCCACGTTCCTACATCCCTCCCCCGGTCCACGGAGCGCTGTGCCGCTCGGTGCAGTGCCAAGGCAAGATTCTCCTACGTGACGCCGGCCCACATAGTTAGGTATGGAGGGCAGGTTCAGCAGGGCGTGAGTCAGGCTTTCAGGTGGTCCGTTATTAAGAACCTCGATACTGCGCGCCGCCTGTTCAATTGCATGCACAACGTGTGCGTCTGTCTTCCTTCTCGGACTGCTGCTGCTGCTGCTTTGCTGCGCTCGAGAGAGAGAGAGAGAGAGAGAGAGAGAGAGAAAGAGAGAGACAGAGTTACGAGCTCGCCTTTTGTCCCATGCCCTTCTCCGACCGTAAAAAGGATTTTACTGTCGTTTGTATGTTCGGGCCCTGGGCATCGCTCCTCTTCCCCCGCAGTAAAAGAAGTCGCGCCACTCGAGGCCCATTTACGTAGATAACTGTCTTAACATCGTACTCTGTGAACGCGAGCATATTACACTGCGGAGCCTCGGGAATCTTGCGTCTTTTTGAAAAGGAATAAATCTGTTTATCGCCCTGTTCGCAAGGAGGACCTCGCGCACAAAATAATATGTTATTTTTCCTGGCGAGATGCAAACGAGTGCATCATCCGTCGCTCTGTTCAATGTCCCTGCATGAATGCATGAACATGAGCGCGTAGACTCGGCCGCCCGGCACATACTGCCCGTGCCCTTCACTTCGCCTTCACATTTTGTATTTCTTCAAAAGTCGTCTGGAACGTACCCGAAAAGACATCAGAGTCAGACATTGGGATGTTGGAACCCCTTGGGCCCTAGTGAGTCCCCCATCCCATCTTGATGCGACTTGGACCTTCGAGAAAAGTATTGCCTGGTTCGCGAGGTATCCTGTACCCGATAAGACGTTCATGTTTGTTGCCGTTCGTGGGTTCAGCACAGCGATCGGAAACCACGCACGGCAACTGGTTTGCAAGAGACATTCTTTCAGTGGACAGATGCTGAACATCGTGAATGCCTTAAGCCATTGATCTCAGACTCAGAAGCCTACACGTTCATAGAAACTCCCGTGTTCTAACGAGCAGTTGCCATGAGCCATCTCATCTTTGAGAAAACGTTAGATGTAGTAAAGGTGGCCCGAAATCACCGACCCATTTAATGTAATCAATCGTGTTGAGCAGCCAAGCACCCTAGAAGCAATCTACTTTGCACTGTGGTTATTTGCTTGATCCTCATAATATCTTTACATCTGCTCAAAAAGTGCAGAAAATTTGTCGTTTTTGCACAACATTAATAAAGCAACTTTTGTCATTCATATTCAATTGAACATGAAATGCCAAATTAGATGAGATATTTGCTTGATCGTACCCGTGCAAAGACAAGCTACTTGTTTTTTTTCTCAACATTCTTCAAGAGAGATAAATCCAAAATTGAACGAAATTCAGTTGTGGCTAGCACCTTTTACTTGGTTTTCTGATTCCAACTTTCCGTTTATTTCCCAGCAGTCTTAAACTTCCTCCGAGAAGTGGCAAACCGAGGGCCCTATCCTTCACATGCCATCAGGGTCCTCCTTTAATAGGAATGAAGAGTGGCTGTGGAGGTGAAGACCTCTCCACAGGCCCATAATCCGCACATACGAAAGATACAAGGATACAGAAAAAACATCTGAATGATATCCACTGTCTCGTTCAAAGAATGCATGCAGATATCGATCCGACGAGGGGGTTGAGATCTGAATCCGAACAATGCGCTCACTGTGTCACGGTTTGGTCCACCACGATGTATGATGATATAAGCGAGAAGAAAGTGTTAGAGAGACGTCTGCACATGGTCTAGAGCCCGTATGTTGCCCTTGCACCTTCCCTTCCCCGGACCAGGGCGAGATGGCTCCCCCGCGTTGGAATAGCCTGCCGGTACAGTGCAAGAGTATTGCCATCTACGCATTTGCACTTACTTGGGACCTCGGACTCATTAGCCTAGATTGGTAATCCTTCCGATTAGTCGGGTCGAGTTGCATCATTGCATGGCAGAGGCTGCCAGGTCCCAGCGACGGCACTCAGATCAACGTCCACGATATCACTTTCGGTCATGAACTTTCGCATAACCATCACAGTGAGAGTGAGCGAAGGAGGAGAGTACAGAGTGGAGCTCGTCGCTGACAGAGCGCGAATGAGGCTATTTCATACACGAAGGGTGGTAACTCATCCATCAGTCTAACGCTTACCAACCGATACAACACGTGTAGAGTTTTCGTTTTAACATCGTACAAAGCTGTGCAAATTTCGTAAATTTAGGACGAGCGAGGGGAGCACATGTGCTTGCGACCTCACTGTTGTCATCTACAGTACTTGCAACTTTGTTTTAGATGGAGTGCTCGATCGTCTCACTTCCGCCAGACAATTTTGTGTTCTGTAGGCTAGGCTGGACCACCTACGGAAGAAACGATAGATCTGCTCCAGGAGGGCCGCAGGAGGGCTGTGCTAGCTTGTAACTCGAGCAACGCCGTTTCGTCCCCCTCCCCCTTCCCCCTTGGACCGCTTGATCTTCAGGACAGGTCAAGCGAGAGTCAAGGCTCTGTCCTGACTAACGAACTGGTTGGCGCCAGTAACTGCCGTGGGATAAACCCGCTTGCGCTGCGACCGGCACATTCTGAAATTCACCGACATAATTGTTGAGCTCGCGGATCAACAACCCGTAGCTGTCACCTTAGATCCGACTTCTGAGAGAATCAAACGGGAGATTCTTCCGGACCGGTTACGAGTACCGGTTGAAGACCGGCTAGCCTGGAACATCTGCGCCCGGTTAATCTGGATATTTATCTCAGCAGATTAATATTATGTTGGCCCTCGTGTCCGGTAGGGACGCTGCAATTTATCAATTCCCAGGCCCACCGAGATGCTTCTCTGGCTACTATTGAGTCGGGAGTCTTAACTTAAGCTTCTCAGCTCCTCAGCTCCTCAGCTCCTCAGATGCTGACTTGCCCGGATCACGCTCGTGCCATGAAGATAACATGATCGTCGAGACAAGTTCGGTCAAGCGGAGCAGAATCTGAAGGTCAATCTTGGAGTCCGGACTCCTGGACCCCGGGGCCTTAAGCCCCAGTGCACTTTCTGGCTCTCGGAGTGGAGACGACTGCTGTACGTGGATGCCACCGGTCCTGCCCGGAGAACTTCCTCGGAGACCGGGACGGAACTGGTTCGTGCCGAAGAGCGAGCTTGGGGTGGAGCGTACGGTGTACGGCCCAGTGAGTCACCGGTTCAATCCAGGCTCGTCGCAGACCATGCTGCGAACATGACGCGCAAGCGCTTCACCGGCCGACCGGTCGGTGACCGGGGGTTCGGACACCGGTAGACCGAGTGGCCACGTCAATTCGTGTTCCGAATGGCCTGAGGGGACGACTTCGTTGGCGCCCGAAGACGCGTGAAGGTGTAAGGAGGAAAGGTTGTCACGGCAATTCCGGACAAAGGAAAAGTACATGCGCGCAATTATGAAATCCTGAATTATGGGTTTCGGGTGTCATCTCAGACATTCGCAACTTTGTGTCAAACCGAAGGGCGGTAGAAGTCGGCCACCAGTGAGCCACACTGACATCAGGAATATATGACTTTTGCCGTCCAATATGTGCCCCGAACTGATCACTTAGAACCGAAAAGAGGCACCTCTACAGTCGTTAGCCGCCCAGTATAAGATTTACAAGTGCGTCAGTCGAATGAAAGAAAAGATGAGTTACAAAGTTTGATTCCCTAAATAACTTCCAAGCTGACTCGCGGAATACACTTTTGTATTGTTAGTCCAGACAAGCAGAGCCGATTCACCGTATCTGGAGTTCCAATCCGCGACTGGATCCATCATATATGAAGTACAAAAGAATCAGACGTGGATGATGAAACATTCTGTACTTTAGAAACTTCTCACTCGTGCGTAGATATAGAAAGTAGAGCTCATTGTTCTGCTCAAGGAATCCTCACCATTCTGAAAAGTTGATCGTATCATTGAATATCTGTACTGGAGGCTCTTTGGAACCTGTAGTGTGTCGATCCTGTACGCACTACTGCACACCAATTTCAATGTGTCTCGTGTACGAGGACTTTCATCTCATTAGACGCCAGACCTGAGACTTGCAGAATAGTGTTCTATCAGTCATTGCGGACAGACTGCAAGTTGTCGTTTATTTCGCCATGTCACATGTGCATGTTGACAATGTTAATAGTGACCAGCGATGGAATCCTACTGCGAGATTTGTCATAACGTTCTCTCTAATGCGTGCTCCCATGCGTGCTTAGAGATAGACTTCGGTGCGCGAGAGAACTCTGAACGTTGTCTTCTTTCAGTTTGTCACATGCACACTGGTCTCAAACGATCTGTAATCTCACGACCTGCAACTCCGATCGGTTGCGTGTCAATCTCCTAGACTGAGTTTGACAAAACTCTCATGGGGAGATTGGATTTTTGCACAGATATTCCTCTAGTTTTTCTCGTTCATCTTGGCTCTGGATGCTCTTTAAGACAACTGCGAGTCCCAGAGCGTCCATATGTACGGCGACTCTCTGTTGAACATGAGTGAAACTAGCGATGCTGTTGACCCACGTTTGATGCTTTGATTCATCTTACGTCCATAACATGTTCTACGATTTGAATTTCGTTTGGTTCATCTTCCCTTGAATCTCATCAAGACGGATGGTACGTTGTTGCGTCTAGAGCGCGCTAGTCGGAAATCTCGGAAATGTGGGATCTGCAATTCCATATGATATGGAGCTTTGAAATGGTCAATGCTTCGTTACTGTTTGGGATAATATCAGCTTTCATACTTCGCCGGGTCTAATACAATGCACATTTCGTCGATGGAGTTAAAAACGTTTACTACAATAAGCAGCAGAGCTCTGCAACTCTTCGACATTTATCAGACGTCATGATGTCAGACAAGGAACGAGTACTAATTCGTACTCCTCGCTCCCTCCCCACAACATCATATTCTCGTCTGATCTGCAGGTCTTCACTCCACTCTGAAATGTATAACACTCTGCAACAGTTCAGCAACGTCAACTTCAACTTCAGACTTCAGACCTCTCACTCGGTGCTTCGTCCTTAAGAAGGAAATAAATTGCGTTTATCAGCGACGGTGTCTCCGAAGCCTGTTGTGTGTCGTCCTTCCTCTTTAAAGAGAAGTTTATGTAACATGTTACTTTTGGCGCTTCGCTTTCAAAGGCAAACGAACCACAATATGACAAAGGTGCGAAGTATAATTAGCAGATAATCCAATCTGAAGGACACGGAGACCTGCGTCCAAAGTTAAGACAGTAATCCAGAAGTGTCAGAGTGTAGTACTTAGGACCATAGAATCCCAAGAAAGTGGCAGTTTGAAGGTCGCTCTAGACAGAGCTGTCTGGACTCTGAAGACCAAATTCAGTTAACTTTATGTACTGGAAACATCATTATTCAGATTGGGCAGAAGAACATTAACCAAAAGTACATGGGTGCAAAAAACCACGAGCGATAATACAATGGTAAATCCGGAGAAGCTAATAATTACCTTGGTGCTAGACCAGAATCCAGGCCCAAATCTGCCTACTAACTAACAGCAACCAATGGTAGCACAAAAAGGTCGAACCGACAAGGAAATATATGAAGGAAAAGGAAAGCCCAAAAATCACTCCAACATGAAGCTTCCTTGACCAAATTTGTGCAACACTTAATTAATGCAAAACTTAATGTTTCAATGGAAAAAATACTCCCACCGCCTACGATTGTTTAAAAATAACCTAAATTATCACAAGAATTTTATTCATGATAGCCACATCAAACCCATGTAAATCCATGCATGTATTACTAGTCTTACCTTCTCTTTACTTCATTATCTGGTCTCGAATATAGGTGTATAGCCCTGATTGATGAATTTGATTATATGTCACGAAATAGAAATTTTCTTTATTTCATGTCTCAGTAATGGACAAAGTATCATATGCATTCATGTTCAATAATGTCCTTTTACATTTCACAGAAAAATGATAAATTTTGTTATTTTTATCAAAAACTTAATTCTAATTTAATTTCACAAACTATTGAGCTTCTTGAATGATTTACAATTGACTAAGTATCATTGAACTATATCATTTCACATTCTATGATAAAGTAATATAAATATCTATGTTGAAAACTAATGAACGAGATCAAAATTTCAAAAAATGCAGGATTAATTAATCTATGCGTATCTACAATCAATGTTAAATTTTTTTCATTTCACAATATCTTGAGT